GACAAAAGCTCACACGCTCTCTCTTCTGTCTTGTTTCAGGCATCCCTTGAGTTCCTCCAGATGCATCGCTGAGACACTTAGCTGAGTTCTTGGCTGTAGAAAACACATGATGTTTATTTTGTGGAGTTTGGGTCCCACATTTAAAGCTGTTTGACCCCCATCAGCAGGTGGCACAGTTCAGCAGTTTGATTGTAAGGGAATACATGAATTTGAAGCCTTTATCACACTGAAAACAGGATTAGTCATTATATAATGTCACATAATTTAAAAGACACATCTGGTCATTTCAAATGTGGTAAATTCAACTCAGCCTTTTAAGTAATATTTTCATACATATTTTTTGATACATACTTTTATTATTTAATCTCTCCATTTTGCTGCTGTTGCACCAACATTTCCACCCCGAGGGAAAATAAAGTAATTTTCTAATTTACGTAAAATTATTCAGTTTGTCACATGAAGAAAACAAGGACAAACTGAGCTGCTATGAAAGCAGAAAAGAGCTGCTATGGGAGCCTGGAGGTCCAAACAAGGAATCGGTATGAGTTCAAATGTGGGTTTCAGTTAGGAAAATGACCACTGGTCCAAAATGAAAATCATGTATTTCTAACACAGTTGTGTTTTGCCCTCCTTCTACCATATTCACTTGTGTTGACCTTTTAACCCTTCAAGTGGCAGACCAACCACTTGAAATCCTGTCTTAATAAATCATGGCCCAAACTTAACTGAAAAAATAAGTGCTGAACGAAAATAAAACAGTTTTAAAAAACTATGGGGATGTTTAAATTAAAGGCAAAATATTAAATCCTTGTGTGACATTATATTAAACCTTACTGACCCAAAAGAGCCAAAATATGAGAAAAAGAAATTCTTTGTTACTTTTTAGCCTGATTATAGAATTTATAGTATAAGTTCAGACAAATGTATCATATTTATAACTAATTATTAGAGTTTTATTGTATTGTTTGGAGCCAAAAATCTAAGCTGGAAAAAAATGTGATAACTGACCCAGCCCTGATTCAGATCAAAATAGTCATTTATGGAGCAGGGAGGGAAGTTTTAAAGCAGTTTTAGTCTCCGACCTGCCGCGCACACTGTGCATGTCACCTGAGCAGAATTAGCATGTGTGCAGCCAGTAAAAAAGCTTTGCTGCTCCCCCAGGCCTCCTGCTGAGAGTGTCTCTTCTCTGCTCACCTGGGATCTGATTACAAACGTTAAGCCCTTCTGTCCTGAGAACTGCTGACCTCGGCCTGCAGGAAGCTTCCTTTCCACCTGAGACTGAGTGGAGATCTGTCCAGGTGAACTGTGGGCAAATGAAGCTCATTGGAGACGGTGAGGTCACACATGAGGGGGTGAAGGGCCTGGCACTGGACTTTAGCAGTGTGCACAGTGCAGCTCCACCCTGGGCCACGTAAGCCCATTAAACTCTCCGGTCAAGCTAAAAGGGATTTTCCTGCCTCACTGTTTGATACACAGACAGACGAAATGCAACATGTCAAGTCAGGGTTCTGTACACAACCTGTGGAGCTCTCAACTGGACGTTTCTTATTGGGGGGAGTTTATGATGTCACAAAGCAAGAGAGGACACCTGGAATTCAGGATTGAGATGAACAATCTGAGACAGTCCAGAATCATCCTACCTGAGCCAAGCCCGAGTTTTGTTGATAAATGCCCCAAATCCATAAAAGGGGCGGGGCTTAGTCAGTTCTAAAGCATGTCGTTTAGCTCCCTTATTTATGCCATACTGTTACATCTCTTCTCTTTGACATGAAACTACACTACTGTTGCAGTGGCCTGTTTGGTTCTGGGGTCAACTGTTGTCTTGGGAAAGGTCTCCATCTAGTGGTCATCCTGAGAATCACTCGGACAAGCGCTCGGACTTTCATTCTCGAGTTTCATTAACATTTCCCTCTAAATAATAAAAAAAAAATAGCATTAACTTATTCAGTAGCTCCATCTCCAGCCATCTAAGTTTAGCTTCTTATGAGTTACGTTTTTATTTTATCTTCCCAAGCAGCCGTGAACTGTCCAGCTTTTCTTTTTTTAATGGATCTTTCAAATATAAATATTTTACATAGTTTTTCTTTATTTTTTTCTTTAGTCATAAATATGTGTTTGGTTTGTCAAGTAACTTCAATAAGAAACATCATGAGCATAATTCAGATTTTAAATCAGGATCTGTCTCACTTTTTATGATTAAGTATTTTAATTATAAAATTCACATGTAAGTCAGCAATGTGTATGTCAAAATGACTAAATAAGCATCGCATCACACACACACACACACACACACACACACACACACACACACAGAATGTGAGCACTCAATGCTGTGCAATGTTACGTTGCTCGCAACAAAGGTGGGTTTTACCAAAATATAAAACAAATGAGGTCAGATGTTGGAGTGAGAAATGTTGGGACAACGCTGTTGACACGCAACATGAGCTGTATCCTTAAATGTCCACAATAAAGCAATGAAAATGTTTCATTTTGGCATTTTTAAATACATCTGGAGCAATAAGAGGAACCTTTATAACATAATGTAGATAGTTCTGTGATGGACAGGAGGCTTGTCCAGGGTGTCCCCATGCCTCTGCCTGATAGGCACCAGCTCAGTAGTAAATGAATACGTGAATAATGCAGTAAATCCTGGGATTATTGGCGACATGCACAGCCTGAAGCATCACTGCAGAAACGCCAAACACTTGCAGAAGACAACTCATGTCCATCTGGTGCATCTAAGGATCTTTTGACCTCTTCAGTCAGAGATGTGAGAGTTACATCTCCAAGATCTTGGAAAAGGTTGTGGCTAAACAACTTACATCCGCTCTTGATGAACACAACATCTATGATAGCTTCCAGTCAGGTTTTCGTGGAGCTCATTCTACTGAAACAGCTCTTCTTAGGGTCTCTAATGACCTTCTGACTCACAGTGATGCAGGGGACTGTTCTGTTCTGGTCCTGCTGGACCTGACTGCAGCCTTTGACACTGTTGACCATCACCTGCTACTGGAGAGGCTGAGAGACTGGGTAGGCCTATCAGGATCTGCTCTGGAGTGGTTCTCCTCTTATCTCTCTGAGCGTTCCTTTTCTGTGGCCGTCTCCAAGTTTAGGTCCTCCACCACCTCTCTTACCCATGGTGTCCCACAAGGTTCTGTGCTGGGGCCTCTGCTCTTCCTCCTCTATCTGCTTCCTCTTCAGCACATCCTGAGCTCCTTCAAAGGAATCTCCTACCATCTTTATGCAGATGACATCCAACTGTACATCTCCTTTAAGCCCCATGAGATGTCTACGCTGCAGCTGTTACACACCTGCTTAGACTCTATCAAAACCTGGATGGCTGGGAGCTTTCTTCAGCTGAATGAAAATAAGATGGAGATCCTCATCTGTGCCCCAGACAAGCTGGTTCCCAAAGTCAGAGACTCTCTTGGTCAGCTTGCTTCCCACACCAAACCTTCCGTCAGGAATCTTGGCGTGACCTTTGACCCAGTTCTCACCCTGGATTCTCATGTCAGTTCTCTTGTTGGTTCTTCCTTCTTCCATCTCAGGAACGTTGCTAAGCTGAGTCCCATTCTGTCCCGCTCTGAACTTGAGACAGTTCTCCACACCTTCATCTCCTCACGCTTAGACTGTAACTCTCTCTTCACGTGTCTGAGCAGAACCTCCCTGAACCGTCTACGGGTGGTTCAGAACGCCTGTGCTCGGCTTCTGACCAAGTCATCCAAACACACCCACATCACCCCGCTTCTCCTCCAGCTTCACTGGCTGCCAGTCAACTCCAGGGTTCATTTCAAGATCCTGGTTCTGGTCTATAGGGCCTTACATGGACAAGCACCATCTCACATTGGGTGCATCTCCTTTACCGGAACTTCAGGGTAAATGCAGTGAGGGGAAATTGACTGAGAGATCCGAAGGCCCAGGTTCACTCTTGTGTCTCCATTTACAGTTTGGCCCTGTCAGGAATTTGCTAAAACGTCAGCACATCGCGACCGCTTCATTGTGAGTTATGTCATCGATTGGTGCAATGCTCGCAGAACTTGCCAAAAGCAGTGAAGAAAACATATTTTCCGACTGAGTCACAACCAGTCGGAAGCATTCCCACCCAATGCACCGGGCCGCTTGTCAGACCACTCTAAGTAGCTACCCTGATCAAGTACACAGAAAGCTCCTGAAAACAGCCTGGAAAATGGCTGTTCGGCCGGCCCGGTCAAGTGGAGACTCAGGCATGTCGAGAGGTCCTGTAAAACTACCCTGAAGTTCTGGTAATGGAAACACACCTATTGGTCATCTTCTCAGTCCCTACACCCCCAGCAGGTCCCTGAGGTCCAGTGATCAAAGCCTACTGGTTGTGCAGCACCAGGCTGAAGACCAAAGGTGACAGATCATTTGCTGCTGTGGCCCCCAGACTCTGGACCTCTCTCCCCCTGAGCCTGAGATCAGTGGACTCAGTGGTCTCCTCTAAAAAGCTGCTGAAACTCACCTGTTCAAGCTGGCTTTGGTGTGACCTTCTCTTCTTCTTCCTCACTGGCTCCTCATTTGTTTCTGTAAATTCTGTATTTTTCAGACTCTTGTGTCCATCTCTATTCAAATTGGATTGCTCCTGTGAAGCGTGATTATTTCTCTTGAGAGGCAATATGTAAAAATCCTTTCTTCTTGTTCTCATGTAAATAAATGTTATGAACGCAAGTTGTTTTTCGTTCAAACAACAATTTTAACAGATGATTTACTTTTTAATTATTTATCTCTCAAATTAATTAGCTGGTTTTTATTTAATTATTTGTTTGTTTGTGTTGACGCTGTTCTGTGCGTGCGCAGCCAGAAGATGGAGTCGTGGACGCAGAAATGTCTAAATTGCTCTTTAACTTCTCAGTTTGTTTATTCTGTCACCAAGTGCGTCTGTGACGCAATGATGATAAACAGTTTGCGTGTTTATATTGATAAGGACTGTTTCATCAGCTCGTGCTGCTGCGTGCGCTTGGCGCCTCCTGTATCAGAACACATCTGGAGCGAAGACTCAGTGAAACATCTGCTTGACTGAATAACTGCGTTCCGTTTTCAAGCTTTGGTCACGTTCAATATTTCAGCGTCAGAGACGTGAGGTTGCGTGTTCAACTCCAGCCCTCGCAGAAAGGCCAGCCCATACACAGCAGCTCCAACCGCTGCATGGTGGCTGAAAGCATCTGAAGCGCCTGTTCCGGAGTGCGTAAAGCGAAGCGACAGCTGGATGAGCGTCCTGTGGAGAACATCACCGGAATGAGGCGCAGCAGCGCGCGTCGCCAGCTGCGCCCTGATGGGAAAGACCGATTTAAAGAACATCAGCCGCAGTTCCAGCAGGAAGACGAATCAGATGGAGATGAATGAGAGGAACAGTTCGTCTGAAGAGTTCAGGTCTCTCCCGCTAAGACCACCGGGCTTTTCTTCAGCTTCCGCAGCGAGGCGGTTCGTCCGGCTGGGACGGAAGAGCAGCGATGGTTCTTCTCAGTGAGTAACCGCACGCTCCGGTGTGGAGAGGACAAGCTGGAGACCTTCAGAAGGACTTTTAGTAAAACTGATTCCACATTTTTATACAAACACTAAAAGATTATAATTGATGCCAGTAACCCGGCCGCTGACTAAGGAAACTTCTGATTTATTGGTCATTTACAAAAACAAAAGATAAAAAAACTTGTAGGACAATAAAGACAATTCAGTTATTTCTGAGCTTTGAGATATTCGATACTTAATAAATACTATAAATCAAATCAAACAGGCAGCGATAAATCGTTTAACTGCAAATAAACCCAAAGTAAATAAAGTAAAAAGGAGCTTTCAAAAAGCTTAAAGGAAAAAAAATAAAACATTTCATTTAACACAACTGCTTGTGTTTTTTATTTGATCACATTCTATTTATTTATTACTTTGATTCTAACAGCCTAAAACTTTGAACTGGGAATAATAATCAGCTCCTAAAATGCTGCTTAAATGATAAATAATATGGATCTGGCTTCTTTACTCAGGGATTTATGCATGATGACTTGATTTTAACCCTAAGCCCAGACCACTTCTTCTTGCATTTAATTTTTCTACTAAAGGGACGTTTATAGAGGGTCTCTCACCGCTAGTTAAAGCAATTTAAACAAATCATCACCACCAAAAACATCGTACACAAGGAGAGTTTATCTGAAAATAAAAATATCTGAAAGTATGGACTCTGCCAAGGCTGCCCTTTGTGACCGATTCTGTTAACGTTTATGGACAGGATTTCTAGGTGCAGCCAAGGTGTGGAGGGGTCTTGTTTTGGTGGCCTGAGGATTGAGTCTCTGCCTTTTGCAGATAACGTGGTCCTGTTGGCTTCATCAGAGCGTGATTGCCGGTTTTTGCATGTGATTTACAGCCGATTAGGATGAGAATCAGCTCCTCTGAATGCAAGACCATGGTCTTGAGTCAGAAAAGGGTAGAATGCCTTCTCCGGGTCAGAGATGAGGTTCTGCTCCAAGTGGAGGAGTTTAAATATCTCAGGATCTTGTCCACAAGTGAGGGAACGATGGAGTGCAAGATCAAGATTGGTGCAGCGTCTTCAGTGATGCGGGCATTTTACCGGTCTGCTGGTGAAGACTTCAAGCTCAGCTCTCGATTCACCGGTCAATCTACTTTCCAACCCTCACTAATGGTCACAAGCTTTGCCAAGTGACCGAAAGGATGAGATCACTAATGCAAGCGGCTGAAATTAGTTTTCTCCGTGGGGCATCCGGGCTCTTCAGCGCAGAACAAGGAAGTTGCACAACCAGTTACTGATCTGTGTCAGCTTATCCCACTGGTGGGGCTTGAAGGCGTCAAATTCGTATCAGATGTCAGGGAAAGTATCTAAAGGAAGGACATAGAAAAGAAAAAAATAGAAGTCCCAGAACTGAGCCTTGTGGAACTCCACAAGTTAGTGGAGCAGTCTCTGAGGAAATGGTTTCTGTCTTCACAATGAAAGTTCTGTTTCAAAGACAAAAGCCATCCAGAACATTTAGCCTGTTAAACTAGGTGTTGTGGTCTACTGTATCGAAAGCTGCACCGCAACATTTACAACAATATTTAAGTTTTGATTCAAACTCTGTAGTTTTTTAATTGTTTAATTGTGCCAGAATTGTCCAACAGGGAAGTTTTAAGCCCATAGTTGCTCTAAGTTTGAATTCGTGACAGCCTAACACAAGACCCTCGTCATTTCCAAGTAGCTCTAAGACTCTGAAACACGTCTCATTTCCAAAGCGACCATGAAGCTGTTCTTCTCACACCATAAACATGTGAGATCTTCCACCATGCCAGGACTCACCTCAGTCCTCCAGCAGCAGCAGCAGCTAGTCTGAGATCTGTGGCGTAACTGCAGACAACCTTTGAACCAGCTATAAGAAGCTTAGCGCCTTGGTGACGGGGTGAACAACACCTCATTGTTTCAGTCATGTTCAGAGGGAACTGAGGGAGGCGCGGTGAAGGAGGACAGAGCAGATGGACTCTTTAGGCTTTAGCTTGTTTTCTCTTTTCTTTTAAAAAGTGTGGTTGAATTTCATCCTCCCATCAGTTCATATTCTGGTCTTTTTCATCAGGTCAGCCTCTTCTTCTGGCACCTCATCCACCTCCAGGTCAGCTGAGGACGCTAGCGTCAGACCGCCCGGCAAAAGTTGCATCCGTCACCACGTCAACCGCCTCTCGGGACTCTTCATTCACAGCTCGGTCCCGGGATCAGGCTCCATGGCGCTGACGACGGGTCTCCGGTCATCTCGCTCTATTCAAGCCAGGAAAGGAAGCAGTAGGTCACGCTGAGGCTGTTCTCACTGTGGTGCATGTCTGAATGCTTGTTTATCACTCTGGCAGGAGGCAGGGATAACATATGAGCTACATCATCAGGACAAAATCCTTCCAGTGTTTCTGTCACCTGAGTACTGGCTCTGCTTTCTGAAGCAACACTTCACTAGGAGATCTTGGTGGTCTTGAGACTTGGACCATAAGAGATTCAAGGTTCCTCAATTCAATGGGAGTAAAGCAGGACCAGAACAGAACCGAGCCTCTTCCATGTTTGTGATGCCGGTTCAATGCTGTTTGTCTCTTCTATAAACAGCTGATGGGAGTTTCCAAAAAGATCCAGTATTGTCTCATCAGTCCTAAAGATTTTCTCCCAGAAACATTGTATTTCTGTCCTCAGTGGAGCCCTCTGAAGCCCATTATGGTGCAACCAGAAACTTTTCAGTTCACCTTGACTGGTTCTGAACTGTTTCTTTGGCTCTTGTTCCACCATCCATCTGATGGGGTCCATCATGTCCTGGGTCCATGTCCCACAGACCTTCTGCCTCTTTTTAAAGTGATGCTGTGATTACGTGAACACGAAGCTGCTCACGTCTCTATCATCTTCTTTTCTGAGCTCCTCAGACAGCTCTGGTTCTTGCTTGTTCTGGTCCAGGTTCACAAAACCCACCGTGCAGTGTGATAGTGGCACCAGGCTGAACGTCTGATGGAAAAACATGACAGCTCCTGTGATGCTGATGCAGGTCAAACACACAACTAAAGTGCAACCTCCAGACATCTATGACTATGTTTACATGCAGCCAGTATTCGGGTTTCTGATACATTTGGAATTACTCGTTTACATGCACAAGTAGAGAGAATTGCCCCTGTGCACCTGGAACGTCTAATATCCCGATTACATAACTTGTGTGTAATCATAAGTCTCTAAAGGTGAACGAGGGAAGAAACACATTTATCTGATGCTTTTCTTACCTTTTCAACATTGTTTAATGTAAAGTTTGGTTCAACACGAAGCTTAATTACAACAATCCAACGAGACAGAGCCTGGATTTGTATTCTGAACAGTTTAAAGATGTTTAAAAAGGAGACGTGTGACGCGTTGAAAAATCAGCACCCTGCTCAAGCCCGGTAGGCCCGCCCACAACGCGGCGGCTGCTGTCGCTCCCAGTGTTTTCTTTACTGTGGGAAACGGGTAATAATGGCTCTTTGATGGGAAAAGGTTGCCGACCCCTGATCTACTCAAAAGACCAAGATTCCTCGTGAATAGTGCAAGCGCAGAGCGCACCTCTTGAAAGTGTTATCCCATACGCGTTTACATGACCTGATATTCGGGTTAGAAAAGGGTTACCCCAGGGGTAATAACCCGGTTTTAAAACCCCTGGTTATGAGCATAACCAGGGGTTTTGCCAGTATTTACGTGGCCTTGCGGAACTGGGTTATTGCAATTTACCGGGTTTTGAAAAGCAACAACAACAAAAAACTCAGACCAACACTAAAACATGACATGTCTGCAGTGGTCTCTACACCAGCCCCGCCACCAAACGACCCATCGGAGTTGTCCAACCAGATCACTGCCCCGGGAATCTTGAAGATCTTTGGGAATGACATCTGTGAAGGGGCTCACTACAAAAGCGTCCTGGCCACCACACACTCCAGCGCCAAGGAGCTCGTCAAAGAGGCCCTGGAACGGTGAGACCATGTTTTTTGCTCAGATCTGCTCAACCTGAGTTATGCTGCTCCTCATCAGCAACTACACAAAAACTCTCAACCTGCTAAATGAAAATAAAAGCTGCAGAAAGAATTTAGACACAAGAAGCTGAATTTCTTTCCGCGTTTGACTCGTTTTTGGATCTAATTTTCCTGGATAGCATCAACATGGTGTACCAGGGTTTATATATTTGCAAAACATGTTAAAAACATTTCCTGCATTAGCCAGAATCACTCATGCATGCATTGTTTAATATTAAAAACATAATAATAAAGGAAATCTAATGACATAACATCAAAGCTGAAACTGACACAAAGCAGGTGCACCCCCTAGTGGCTGGCTCATGCTGGCTGCTGTACGAGATTTAAGCTCCGCCTCCTCCTTTTGAACCAATCAGATGTCTTCCTGACTAAAACGTAAAAATACACATCAGACAATATGTTCAACATGAAGATGATCCTGGACTAGCCCCCATCTCATCCTTACCTTTGACAGAGACTGAGAGCTACCGCAGCAAAGGTGAAATAGGTTTAGCACTATTTGGTTATTTGATGACTATTGTTTGCAGGTGAGACATAACTTTCAGCCCTACATCCTGAAAGGGCAGACTCTGTTTCCACAAGCCTGTAAAAGATAAACAAACAATGATACGTTTGTTGATGGAATGAAAAAATGCTAAAATATTTAATAATTAATTTAACTGAGTTTAACCAACGCTATTAAAGTAAAACCAAAGCCTAAAGTTAGGTTGAAATAAACTGTTTTGTTTTATTATTTCTTTGTCTGAACAATGCTTCAAGACAATTAATCTTACATTGTTGCCAAACATAATTAGCCACCTTAACGATGTCGTAGATCTTATAAGAATAAGTTCATTAATTTTCCACAATCTGGGGCATGTTGTAGTTATTTCTCTGCTCCGACACCCTTGATTTACATGTTCAGCAGCTCATGAAGCTCTACAGAAGCCTGTTAATCACCTGCTGATTTAAACCAAGTGTGCTGATGTTGGCCCTCCAGGAGCAGAATTGGGCACCCCTGCTCTAGCACAGTCAGCATCCTTTCAGTCAGGAGCCAGTAACACACCTGAGACTGGAGCACACCTGTAGCTCATAACAAGAGTGAATACCAACAGGAAAATGCTGCCGGGGACTATGGGACAGTCTGAGGTACCCACATGTTTAGCTGAATTGCTCATTCCAATGAGTTAACGAAATTTACTTCATAGTAAAAGTGACTAGTTGGATCTTCCAATAAAGATTTATGTTGTTATAAAGAAATAATCAACCAGACACCAACCACCGTACTTTTTACAATAATTCGATAAACACTGGCCTTGGACATTTTTAGGAGTGTGTGTCTCTTGTTTCAAAGGTGGTGTTCAAGCTGATCCAAATGAATCAGGTCCACATGTCTCGTTCTTCTTTGTGTGTGTGTGTGCGTGTGTGTGTGTGTGTGTGTGTGTGTGTGTGTGTGTGTGTGTGTGTGTGTGTGTGTGTGTGTGTGTGTGTGTGTGTGTGTGTGTGTGTGTGTGTGTGTGTGTGTGTGTGTGTGTGTGTATGTGTGGAGCCCAATCGTTCAGTCAGGAGTCCTGAAATGGTCTAGCACAGACCACAGACTTATGAAAGACAGCCAGTGTCGGTTCTGGCTCTGTCTGTGCCGTTTCAGCCAGAGGGATAATGGAATGATTAATGTGAGTGGTGCTCAGCTCCTACAGGGAAGAAGAGACATTATTCCTGTACCAAAGAGCACAGCTTACATCGTAGTATAAAGACTCGTGCATGAGGCCTTTACAGTTGGCTATGTTAACAATCACACCCTTTGAAACACAAACAAAACATCTTTTACCAGCTGTACTTATCCAATGTAACATATAACATTCATATTAAAGTTAGACTTAAAAAAATGTAAAAACAAAACAACCAGAAATACTTACAGATGAATAAAGGCTCACCCCCTCACCTGTTGGGGTGCCGCTCTATCAACTTCTGTTGAGCACAGAGATCCTTTCTGAAGAAACACACCTCTAAATGATTTTTAAAGTCTTCAGTCTGTAACAAATGCTTTAATAGACCTGTGTACGTTTTAGGTTTTGTTGTTTCAGCCAAGTTGCTAAAATCTTAGGTAGCACGAGCTTCATTTATTCTGTAATGTTCTTTGGTTTCAGGGGAAGAAGAACCAAAGGTTCTTAAAGCTGGGGCAACACTGAGTTTGGGATCCAGAGATGATCTCCAGAAATCAAATAAACCTAAAAACAATTGCTATTGTTGAAAAGTTTTACTGTAACGGATGTTAGAAATAATAGCCTTTAATTCATGTTATTTTTGGATAAGTAGCACTGAATAAATTAGCATGTTTTGTGTCTGTGGGCGTTTTGTAGTAAAGATCTTTTCTTATTATTGTGGCAATTATTTCATATAGGTATGGCCTGAGCAAGGAAGAGGTCCAGTCGTATGTTCTGTGTGACAGCGTTGGTTCTATTGATGACCATCAGTGGCGAACAGAAGGAATCAGAGTAGTGGGTGACCACGAGAAACCTCTCCTGCTGCAGTCGTTATGGAAACCTAGAGAGGGCTTGGTGAGACGCTTCGAGATCCAGCCAAGAAGATCGATAGAGGAGAAGGTATCCAAGGAGAAGGACACCATCACTGCAGGTATGTTCAACTCAAATATATATATATACATATATATATATATATATATATATATATATATATATATATATATATATATATATATATATATATATATATATGCATATATATGTATATATGTACATACATATAAACATATGTATATATATGTATATACAGTACATATGTATATATACAGTGGGGCAAAAAAGTATTTAGTCAGCCACCGATTGTGCAAGTTCTCCCACTTAAAATGATGACAGAGGTCAGTAATTTGCATCATAGCTACACTTCAACTGTGAGAGGCAGAATGTGAAAAAAAAATCCATGAATTCACATGGCAGGATTTTTAAAGAATTTATTTGTAAATCAGGGTGGAAAATAAGTATTTGGTCACTTCAAACAAGGAAAATCTCTGGCTCTCACAGACCTGTAACGTCTTCTTTAAGAAGCTTTTCTGTCCTCCACTCGTTACCTGTATTAATGGCACCTGTTTGAACTCATTATCTGTATAAAAGGCACCTGTCCACAGCCTCAAACAGTCAGATTCCAAACTCCATTATGGCCAAGACCAAAGAGCTTTCGAAGGACACCAGGAAAAGAATTGTAGACCTGCACCAGACTGGGAAGAGTGAATCTACAATAGGCAAGCAGCTTGGTGTGAAAAAATCAACTGTGGGAGCAATTATCAGAAAATGGAAGACATACAAGACCACTGATAATCTCCCTCGATCTGGGGCTCCACGCAAGATCTCATCCCGTGGGGTCAAATGAACGGTGAGCAAGAATCCCAGAACCACACGGGGGGACCTGGTGAATGACCTGCAGAGAGCTGGGACCACAGTAACAAAGGTCACCATCAGTAACACACTACAACGGCAGGGAATCGAATCCTGCAGTGCCAGACGTGTTCCGCTGCTGAAGCCAGTGCATGTCCAGGCCCGTCTGAAGTTTGCCAGAGAGCACATGGATAATACAGCAGAGGATTGGGAGAATGTCATGTGGTCAGATAAAACCAAAGTAGAACTTTTTGGTATAAACTCAACTTGTCGTGTTTGGAGGAAGAAGAATACTGAGTTGCATCCCAAGAACACCATACCTACTGTTAAGCATGGGGGTGGGAACATCATGCTTTGGGGCTGTTTTTCTGCTAAAGGGACAGGACGACTGATCCGTGTTAAGGACAGAATGAATGGGGCCATGTATCGTGAGATTCTGAGCCAAAACCTCCTTCCATCAGTGAGAGCTTTGAAGATGAAACGTGGCTGGGTCTTCCAACACGACAATGATCCCAAACACACCGCCCGGGCAACAAAGGAGTGGCTCTGTAAGAAGCATTTGAAAGTCCTGGAGTGGCCTAGCCAGTCTCCAGACCTCAACCCCATAGAAAATCTGTGGAGGGAGTTGAAAGTCCGTGTTGCTCGGCGACAGCCCCAAAACATCACTGCTCTCGAGAAGATCTGCATGGAGGAATGGGCCAAAATACCAGCTACTGTGTGTGCAAAACTGGTAAAGACCTATAGTAATCGTTTGACCTCTGTTATTGCCAACAAAGGTTATGTTACAAAGTAGTGAGTTGAATTTTTGTTATTGACCAAATACTTATTTTCCACCCTGATTTACAAATAAATTCTTTAAAAATCCTGCCATGTGAATTCATGGATTTTTTTCACATTCTGTCTCTTACAGTTGAAGTGTACCTATGATGTAAATTACTGGCCTCTGTCATCATTTTAAGTGGGAGAACTTGCACAATCGGTGGCTGACTAAATACTTTTTTGCCCCACTGTACATATATATGTATATATATGTATGTATATATATGTGTATATATACATTTTCTCAGTGTTATTAAGCTATTAATCCCTGCAGTCATGATTGTTCACCACCACACAACATAACGCTACCAGCTGTTGGCCTTCCCAGGCTTTTATTATTCAAATTATTATGCTGTTAAATGTAAAATAGTGTTTTTGGGGAACAACCTGTTGGTGACCAAAGTCAGCTTTTCTGATGATATTCAGTCAAAATGTACAACTTCATAGGTATAGAAATTTGGTAAAAAGGACACAGATCATAATAAACTATCTGGTGATCCACATGTTCCTTAGCACGCTTACGAAGATGCAGCAAAGCAGTGAATAACATTGTTAAAGATGGAACATTGTGTCTTGCTCTAAAGCTGCCTGGCCTTGCCTACAGTGGGGAGCCTGAGTCACTTCCGCATCACGGGTCCCCGGAAGAATGAAAAAATAAATGCAAGTCAACGGGGCTAAAAATGCTATTTTCTAACCCGCTTTGCCTTACGCCCTGGATCACACATATGTTGTACTGCAATTTAAATGAAAAGTAATGGTGGGTGTTTCGACCACGCCAGTCACGTACTTTGAGATTCATCAGCTTGTAAAAGTTCGTAATTAGCATGACTACAAACTAGAAATGGGCACGTCGCATATATGGCATCATCACAGAATCTTCTCTCCCCTAGCATAGCTGCTACTTACCACATGGCCAGATTTATGGTGGTTCTTTCCTCCTGTGGGAAGTTTGATAAACTTACAGTCATTTTCCCTCAGTTTTCTCCGTGTCTGGTTCGATGACGTCACTTTCGTGAAGCGCATTTGTAGTCCTGGACTCATCTTCACACAAAACTTAAAATATCATTCCCCCCGTTTGAAAATAAGCACGTTCTTGGTATCAAAATGCGTCTTTAAAATTCACGGACATCATACGGGAAATCCATGGCACAAAACAAGCTGAATTAGAAAACAGTGTTTTTAGCCCCGTTGACTTGCATTCATTTTTTTCGTTCTTCCGGGGACCCGTGATGCGGAAGTGACTTAGGCTCCCTATTGAGACTTTTTTGTCCGTGACTGGACGGGCTTATTTATGGTGTTTGGAAGGATTGGTTCTCTGCTTGTCATCTGGGAGCTTGTCAAAACCAGGTCTAAATTCGATTTAAAAATTCTATCTATTCACCCATTGCATCTTCTTGTATCTGTAATTGTTTTTGAGTTTGGTACTTGATGTCACATAATCATGTTGTCAAAGTGAGGTGTTATTTTTGTAATTAATTAATTAATTATTTTTTTATCCTATTTCCTTGTTTATTTTATTATAAATTTTGTATTTTAGTTCTTGTTCAGTTTATTTGGTCTGTTTGTATTACTCAGTTTTGGCTTATGCCACTGATAGTCTTGCTATCTATCATTGTTTCGGTGTTTTAAAGGAGGACCCCTTTGACAACGAGATGATGCATCTCAAGGGGTTTTATTCTCTAGAAATAAAAGTAAATAAAAAATTAATAAATCAGGGGGTAGGGCAGCAGGTTAAACGTCTTCACGGGCCACAAAATGTTTGTTTTATGTGCTTTTGTTTTTTGAATTCCTATAAATGGGTCGAAATTTGGCATATTAGTAAAAATTGTAACAAAATTGTTAGAAAGTGTCAAACGCCCACTGGAGAAAATGCAGTTGTAGGCCGCCCAAAATCACTCAGGGCCTCAAATGGCCTCGGCCATGCCCAATCAACAAGAAAATCGCTGAGTTCTGGATATCTAAAAAATCCGGTTTTATTTTTTTTACATTTCAGCCAAACGTCAGACAGCTTAGAGTATTTTTCTAGTTTGTTACAAATTTGGATTTTATTTTCATATTGAGTAGTGAATCTGACAGAAACACAGTGATGTAAGACACTTGGTTACTGTCACGCCTTTTCTCTAATCTTCCATCTGATCTACATGTGCTTATAAAACATGGAGCAGAACTTTCCACGGATACCGCGGGCACGGCTCGTGTGTTTATCTGAGCTGTGGTTTACACAGCTCTGCTCTTGGTGGAAGTGTGTGTCCTGTTTGGCTGCCGTGAGCAGCTCAGCGTGTAACAGCGTTCCATCAGTGTCAGCTTGCGGATTCCTGCTGCGCTGCTGAGCTGAATCTTTTTATTTCCATGAGAGAGGTCTCTCTTTCCACCGAGGCCTGCTTCCTGTACGGGGATTCTTCTTGTTGACTCTGGCTCGATCGCGGCGTGCACAGACGGCGCACACGCCTCACCTTCAGGAAAAACATAAATAAAAGGGGTATAGCTGTGCCCCAACACCCATCACCCGTCTGTCTCATGAGTTCATGCAGCAGCTCCCAGATTTCACAGCCTTCCCTCTGATTGTAAACTAAGCTAACAGCTGCATGCTGCCACATTTAGCTTTCCGTAACAGTAAAATAGGGTGTGAAACTTTTACAGTCAGGAATCATAGTGTTAGTCTAAACATGGAGGCATGAATCACCATATATAAAAACCATAGAATAAAATGCTAAATGTTTAGCTAACGTGTAAATCCAGAGGGCTTCAAAATGGAAGCAGCTACTGAAATAGAAACCACAGAGAAGAAAACACTTAGCTAACATCTCAGAGACCCTAATGCCTGGTCCAAAAGTGGTGGATATCAGCTGAGATGTCAGGATGGTTTCTCTGGACTACTCAGCTGGCAGCTGAATCTGTCCAATAGTTGAAGGCATTGTCAGAAAGCAAGGTGAGGGGGTCACAAGCATAGAGACTATCAGGTGATGAAGCCAGCTAAAGGCAGGCATCGCTGTAGAGTCCATCAGGAGTGAGGAAAAACAACAAATCCAGAGCGCAGGAGCAAGGCCATAATCAGGAGGAAGACAGCTATAGATAAGTTTAAAGCAGGGTTAGCTTATTAAAATATCCCAAAATTTGAATATCTCAAGGAGCACTGCTAACAACTGCTACCTTACTAAGACATGGCCGTCTATCTAAAATGAGTGACAGAGCAATAAGAGCCCTGGTCTGAGAAGTTTCCAAGAGGCTCGCGGGCTCAAAGGAGCAGCAGAAACTCAGGTGGCAGACCAAAATTAAACTTTTGGGCCTAAATGCAAAGAAAAAGTAAATGATGAATGGTCTGCATAGCGCCTTCTAGGCTTGAGCAACCCCGCGCGATGACAGACAGTAGAGCAGGTTGCAGTCCAGAGTCAGTGTCTCCAAAGAGAACACAGCTCACGGCCACTTTTGTTTGATTTAAGGAAGACTCCACGGACATTTCCACGTGTCTTTTTCCCCACCAACGTGCTCGGAGATTTCCACGTTCCTGAGAAGTGTGTGTGAACAAAACCTACTGTTTGCGAGAACCGGACTGATGCCACCCAGCCCGGACCAGAACAGATGTGGAAGTGGCATAAGTGTCTTGCCCAAGGACTAGGCAGAGCTCTCTGCTGGGAGTCGGGATCGATCCGACCACCCTCTGATTACTGCACAACCTGCTCTACCTCCTTAGCTACTGCTGCCCCAGTAACACTGCTTATCGCCCTGTGAACATGGTGGTGGCAGTATCATGCTGTGGGGGAAGCTGGTCAGAGATGATGGGAAGATGGATGGAGCTAAACACAGGGCTATCCTGGAGGAACACCTGGGAAGGAGATTAGCCTTTCAGGAAGACCCTAAACATGCAGCAAGAGCTACAATGGAATGGTTTAGACCAAATAAATTCATGCGTTAGAACGGCCCAGCCAGAGTCCAGTCCAAATCCCACTGAGCATTTGTGGCGAGGCTACTTTGTGTCAGTGTATCATAGGAAATCTTAAACACATTTAATTATATTGTCATAAGGTGTCAAAATAGGTTAACGTTCAACCAATAACTAAGAATGTTTTGCTGTAAGTGTGTGTGTCTATTCCTTAGAGTTTTTTCCTCATGCTTGTGTTAGGCATCAATGCCCAGGCCCGTAAACTGCAGAAAAGCCGATCCAGAGTGACCTCCACGCTTCTAGAGAGGACGGTCGGTCGGAGCCATAGGCTGTGGCGGAGCAAAAGTGAGATGGATCTTTTGGATGATGAACCTGAAAATGATTCACGTGCCAGGGATCACTGTGAGAACCCCAGTTCTGCTCCAGCGCAGAGCTGTGAGCATCTTAAAGTGGGTCCAGAACAGAACCACATTCATGGCACGGCGACTCACTCAGAGGGGGATGGTGGGTCAGAGGCCACAACAGAGGACCTCTGTGTGTCGAGGACGAGGGGCGAGCGGGAGGAAGAGGAGTCTGAAAGAGAGGAGACAGAGAGCAGCGACGATAACACCACACAGTACTCCATTCACCCTCCTAATGACTGTCCCTACCTGCTGCTGCTTCAGGGCTGCAGTCTCGCACAGGTATTTGATCCATCTACAGGTACTCTACAGGTGGTTAATGTAACTACAGATATTTGATCCATCTACAGGTGGTTAATGTAACTACAGGTATTTGATCCATCTACAGGTGGTTAATGTAACTACAGGTATTTGATCCATCTACAGGTAGTCTACAGGTGGTTAATGTAACTACAGGTATTTGATCCATCTACAGGTGGTTAATGTAACTACAGGTATTTGATCCATCTACAGGTGGTTAATGTAACTACAGGTATTTGATCCATCTACAGGTGGTTAATGTAACTACAGGTATTTGATCCATCTACAGGTGGTTAATGTAACTACAGGTATTTGATCCATCTACAGGTAGTTAATGTAACTACAGGTATTTGATCCATCTACAGGTAGTTAATGTAACTACAGGTATTTGATCCTACTACAGGTAGTCTACAGGTAGTTAATGTAACTACAGGTATTTGATCCATCTACAGGTGGTTAATGTAACTACAGGTATTTGATCCATCTACAGGTGGTTAATGTAACTACAGGTATTTGATCCATCTACAGGTGGTTAATGTAACTACAGGTATTTGATCCATCTACAGGTGGTTAATGTAACTACAGGTATTTGATCCTACTACAGGTAGTCTACAGGTAGTTAATGTAACTACATGTATTTGATTCATCTACAGGTGGTTAATGTAACTACAGGTATTTGATCCATCTACAGGTAGTTAATGTAACTACATGTATTTGTCCATCTAC